TTTTAAAAATCCACGCCTTGGCTAGGCCTTGAAAAAATATTCTTTTAAAAATCCACGCCTTGGCTAGGCCTTGAAAAAATATTCTTTTAAAAATCCAGGCCTTGGCTAGGCCTTGAAAAAATATTATTTTAAAAATCCACGCCTTGGCTAGGCCTTGAAAAAATATTCTTTTAAAAATCCACGCCTTGGCTAGGCCTTGAAAAAATATTCTTTTAAAAATCCACGCCTTGGCTAGGCCTTGAAAAAATATTCTTTTAAAAATCCACGCCTTGGCTAGGCCTTGAAAAAATATTCTTTTAAAAATCCACGCCTTGGCTAGGCCTTGAAAAAATATTCTTTTAAAAATCCACGCCTTGGCTAGGCCTTGAAAAAATATTCTTTTAAAAATCCACGCCTTGGCTAGGCCTTGAAAAAATATTCTTTTAAAAATCCACGCCTTGGCTAGGCCTTGAAAAAATATTCTTTTAAAAATCCACGCCTTGGCTAGGCCTTGAAAAAATATTCTTTTAAAAATCCACGCCTTGGCTAGGCCTTGAAAAAATATTCTTTTAAAAATCCACGCCTTGGCTAGGTCTTGAAAAAATATTATTTTAAAACATCCACGCCTGAAATTTGGCATAGGTCATTTATTTGGCCGAACCCTATTGCAATTGGGAAAAATCGGTTCAGATTTAGATGTAGCTCCCATATATATTTTCGTCCGATGTTAGGTAAATGGTGCACCAAAGTCCCTATATATTCTTCGATTTGCACGAAATTTGGCATAGCGTTCTCAATTATGTCTGGAACGATGTGTGTTAAATTTCGAGAAACTCGGTTCAGATTTAAAAATCCAGTTTTGATTGCCATTTCAGTTTCCATTCAATTTCGTTTGGAATCCCTTTTCGCCCAAAAAAAATTACCTATACAATTATTGCGACATAATACACCAAATATTAACAACAAAAGAAACAACTTAACGCACCACAAAAGCAAAGTCCTTGTCCAGCCGGAAATACAAACAATGGGGAAAGAAACGCCAAGCCCCTTCCTGCCAGCCAGCCAACTGCCGCAACAAAAGGAAAACAATGATGTGGCATGTTTAAGGATTAGTTGCCGTAAATCTAATTTATGACCATTCAATGGAGAGAAGGTTAAACGGACAAACGCAGTTACTTAGCCTGGGGCAGGATACATTGTTCGATGCTACTCACACCCACACCCAGAACATCCAACACACAAAACCACTTTTACTACAAGATAAGAACGCTAAAGGGAAACGAAGAGGAACCAATGCCACAAATACTTGGAGTGCTGACATGGTTACATTCCTTTATGGATGGCAGGCCGAACAATGTTCTATGCGTGTTTTTGACCATTTTTGGATGGGGTGTGGGATAGGTTCAAAGGCCAGCAAATTCCCTAATATTTTATTATGCCCAAAATAGCCAAACTCTTATGATATGTTAAGCAAATACTGATGTCCCGAATAAAGAAAAAAAACTTGTCGGCCATGTTATCGGCCATAAGCCACTGGATATGGGTACTTAGGAACCTCATAATACCTCCGGTATGGCAAGCTAAAATATTTACGTTTTCGTCTAGACTTCCTTTGATGGGGGAGCCCACCTTCCCCCACGCAGGATTATCATTCTTTTGTTTAACGGAACTGCAATAATTTCGTATCTTTTGTCTATCTTCCGGTTTAGTAGTTTGGCTTTCTTGTTTCTATTTCAATCTACAAGAAGAAGAAGAAGCTGAAAAATATGGCAATTGTTTATCGTAAATAAATCTACAGCAAAAGACCGGAGCAGCTACAGACAGAGATACCAACTATCCTGCCAATGTTCGTTTTTATGTCTTCCATGATAAATTATTATTATTGTTGCTGTTGTTGTTGTTGAAAATAAACGATATAGGGTGGGTTGGGTGATTGGATTAGTCCTTAATGGCAAATCAATTTCCATTTCAACGAAAAAAAGGACTATTCATCGGCCCATTGTGGTTGCTTATTTGAAAGGCATATACTATTTCAAATAAGAGTTTCGAGTCGATACTTATTTATTTCAATTAGGAAAGAAAGAAGAACAAATGCAAAATTGATATGCAATAAATCAGGTAGGATGTAGATACCGACATAAACTTGATTTATGAAGATGTTGAAAATCGTAAAAATCAATATCCAAAACTTCTTCTTGGTGTCAATAAAAAAATATTTTTTTTCAAAGGACATAACAGAGACTTCCAAATAAATGAAGGTATGGATTTTAAAAAATTATTTTCAAGGATCTTAATATGGATTTTTATACCCTTCACCACATTGTGGTACAGGGTATTATGTCTTTGTGCATAGTTTGTAACAGACAAAAGGAAACGAGATACACATATGGTTCCTTTTGAGAATGTGCATAGAATCACTTTTTAAGTAGATTTATGCAAGTCCGTCCGTCCGTCTGTCCATGTTAAATTGTAAACAAATTGCAGGTCGCATTTATAATCCGAATTGAATGCAATTTGGCATAGGTCACTTATTTGGCCCAAGGACTAACCCTATTGAAACTGGGAAAAATCGGTTCAGATTTAGATATAGCTCCAATATATATTTTCGTCCGATGTTAGGTAAATGGTGCACCAAAGTCCCTATATATCCTTCTATTTGCACGAAATTTGGCATAGCGTTCTGAATTAAGTCTAGAACGATGTGTGTTAAATTTCATGAAAATCGGTTCGGATTTAGATATAGCTCCCATATATATGTTCGTCCGATTTTAGGTAAATGTTACACCAAAGTTCCTATATATCATTCGATTTGCACGAAATTTGGCATAGCGTTCTGAATTAAGTCTAGAACGATGTGTGTTGAATTTCGTAAAAATCGGTTCAGATTTAGTTATAGTTTCCATATATATTTTCGTCCGATTTTAGCAAAATAGTGCACCAACGTCCATACATATCCTTCGATTTGCACGAAATTTGGCATAGCGTTCTGAATTAAGTCTAGAACGATGTGTGTTAATTTTCATGAAAATCGGTTCAGATTTAGATATAGCTCCCATATATATGTTCGTCCGATTTTAGGTAAATGTTACACCAAAGTTCCTATATATCCTTCGATTTGCACGAAATTTGGCATAGCGTTCTGAATTAAGTCTAGAACGATGTGTGTTGAATTTCGTAAAAATCGGTTCAGATTTAGTTATAGTTCCCATATATATTTTCGTCCGATTTTAGCAAAATAGTGCACCAACGTCCATACATATCCTTCGATTTGCACGAAATTTGGCATAGCGTTGTGAATTAAGTCTAGAACGATGTGTGTTAAATTTCGTGAAAATCGGTTCAGATTTAGATATATCTCCCATATATATGTTCGTCCGATTTTAGGTAAATGGTGCACCAAAGTTCCTATATATCCTTCGATTTGCACTAAATTTGACATAGTGTTCTGAATTAAGTCTAGAACGATGTGTGTTAAATTTCGTAAAAATCGGTTCAGATTTAATTATAGCTCCCATATATTTTCGTCGGATTTTAGGTATATGGTGCACTGAAGTCCCTATGTATCCTTCGATTTGCACGAAATTTGGCATAGCATATTGAATTAAGTCTAGAATGAAGTGTGTTAAATATTGTGAAAATCGGTTCAGGTTTAGATATAGCTCACATATATATTTTTGTCCGATTTTAGGTAAATGGTGCACCAAAGTCCTTATGTATCCTTCGATTTGCACGAAATTTGGCATAGCGTTCTGAATTAAGTCTAGAACGATGTGTATTAAATTTCATGAAAATCGGTTCGGATTTAGACATAGATCCCATATATATTTTCGTCCGATTTTAGGTAAATGGTGCACCAACGTCCCTATATATCCTTCGATTTGCACTAAATTTGGAATAGCGTACTGAATTAAGTCTAAAACGAATGAATGCTAAATTTCGTAAAAATCGATTCAGAATTCAATATAGCTCCCATATATATTTTCGTCCCAAGAGTTTGTAACGCCGCGAAATATTGGTCCTAGACCCACCTTTAAGTATACCAATCGTCATATCTCGACTAGCTGAGTCGATCTAGACATGTGTGTCCGTCCGTCCATTATAATTTGTATACACGATGCCGGCCACAGTTATGGACCAATCTTCACGAAATTTTGCATGTAGAATAGGTTCTGGCCAATAAAGACCCCCTATTGTTTTTGGTAAAGATCGGTTCATGTTTAGGGGATGAAATGAACCAAATACTTAATTTTATCGATTTTTCTGGCCGCTCCAGATATGGCCCGAAGATCTGAAATTTTACATGGAGATGGGAATCGTGTCATAGAATAAGCATGCCTGTTTAGATAAAGATCGGTCAGTATTTAGGGGGACCCAGACTTTTGGGTGAAAAAGACAAAAATTGTTTTCTATGCCCCTGAGGGACATAGACCCGTGAAGTTTATAGTATTTCAAGAGGAGTGGTTAATCTTTAAATTGATACCAATTATATTGTTGTATGTACTAGGATGTTGGAGTTACACTTAAATATTTACAGGTGCTTACGTATTCATATATTATTTAGTAACCCATTACCACACTATAGGGCGGAAATATAGCTCTGATCGCTTTGGAATGTTCCGTGAGGTTCCATGTATGGTAAAGGACAACGCTTACAATTTTCGGTGATGATCAGATAATAACTTTGAGATGAACTGTATCGAATTATTTCGAGTCGGCCACAATTGAAAAACGAACATCGCAATACAACCCACGGTTGTACTGAATATTAGTAATATTGGTTGACCTCTAATCGGTCAAGCGTGTGCAAATATCGCGAAATATTGCCCAAGCTCGGAATGTAGAATCACAGAAAGTTAGATGTTCGTGGAAGTTGCTGCTCCGCTCACTGCTTTTTAAATAGTTTTGTAATATCCAGACAAAGGCCTGGATTTTTTTATTGTTTTTTTTTTTAATTTTTTTCCAGTCCAGACCTTCTATAACTCGTCTTTACATAGAAGACATGTTATAGTTCTTCTACATACGTTAGAGCTTGGGTGGTGTGGCTAAAGGCGGTATTGTTATTTGTATAGGCCGAGATCGAATCACATGAATCGAATTGCCTCAGCGATCGAGATTTTCCTTCACGTGCTAAACGTACCAGGCCCAGGGCAGTGCTGCGAAATACCTGTTCCAAACCTTGATCTGTCTCGGCTGATGTTTCGAAATATGTAGCACCCATTGAGTTGGCAAACAGCAATGCCTCTTCGCGAGATACTGCTCGCTCGGCATGTAAATCTAATTTGTTGCCAACCAAGGTCAATATCAATGGATCCTGTATGTTACGATGTAGTTCGTGAATCCATGATTTGATTTCTTTGAATGTACGATATTGTGATAAATCGAAAACTAATATGGCAGCACTTGCATTACGATAATACATGGGAGCGACAGCTTTGAAACGTTCCTGTCCAGCAGTATCCCAAATCTGAAAGGGATAGAAAATTAGATAATATTTTATATTAAAAAAGAATAGAGGGTACTTACTTGTAATTTGACTTTGGCCTCCTCCAGTATAACATTACAGGTGAAAAACGATGCTGCACTGGCATGCTGTATATCTTTGTGTAGGGTATTTTTAATATATTTTGTGACCAGACATGATTTGCCAACACCTGAAAGGAAAAAGGGGTAGTATTAAGAAATGGTTTAGATAATAAATACCACATAGGGTCAATCGTTGTAATATCCAGACAAAGGCCTGGATTTTTTTATTGTTTTTTTTTTTAATTTTTTTCCAGTCCAGACCTTCTATAACTCGTCTTTACATAGAAGACATGTTATAGTTCTTCTACATACATATAGGAAACCTATAGGTATATTTTTTATTATTTTATTAAATACATTACAATAATTTCCACAATTTAATAATTTGTTTCTTAATGATTTTTATTAAAGAAAAATAAAATATTTTCTGTTGTTTTTGTTTTTTTTTTTTTTAATTTTTTACATATATGAATATTTAATTAAAAATAAACTGGTCTATTATATCATATATATAATATCAATATAATAATATTAATAAGAAAAAAACTAACATAACCTTTTGAGATACGATCCATTAAAAAAGGGGCATATATTATTAAAAAAATGATTTCAAATCATTTTATGATAAAAAATTGAACGATATTATGGATTTTCAATGACAAAGAAAAATGGTATGAAAAACCATAACAAAAGTAATTTGTGTAGATCTACATTTGTACATATCTACTTAATAATAATAGTAATAATAATAAACTATGAAATTCTGGGATTTATCGATGAGAGTATTCAAAACTAATTTGTTTTTTTTTTCAGTTCGTTACGAAATTAAAATACATTTTTTTAGCATTTTAAAAAATTAAATTAAAAATTCGTTGGGGTAGTTTTGTTTTTGGTCAAAAGCATCAATGGTTAGTAAATATAAATATATATATGTGTGTATAGTATATATTATAGAGGCATTATTATATTGCAGTGGTAAATACATTTTGTTTGGATACGGATTTGTTGTTTGCTTATTTTCTTTTTTAAATAATATCCTCTCTGCAGTTTAAAATATGTCGCTTTGCTTTGTTAGTTTCCGTTTCAATAAATCACAATTTGGTTTCAAAAACAAATCTCCTTATATCGTCCTCTATTTAACAACACCAATTAACTGGTTCCACCTCACCCAATGCTATGTGTTCTATACTCCATGATGGTGTCTCAAGACGCCCCTGATCTGTGGTTTTAATATCCTCACCATCGACCGGTATACCCATGGGTATTGCGGGTAAATGTATAATTGAACCATTCGTTAGAGCTTGGGTGGTGTGGCTAAAGGCGGTATTGTTATTTGTATAGGCCGAGATCGAATCACATGAATCGAATTGCCTCAGCGATCGAGATTTTCCTTCACGTGCTAAACGTACCAGGCCCAGGGCAGTGCTGCGAAATACCTGTTCCAAACCTTGATCTGTCTCGGCTGATGTTTCGAAATATGTAGCACCCATTGAGTTGGCAAACAGCAATGCCTCTTCGCGAGATACTGCTCGCTCGGCATGTAAATCTAATTTGTTGCCAACCAAGGTCAATATCAATGGATCCTGTATGTTACGATGTAGTTCGTGAATCCATGATTTGATTTCTTTGAATGTACGATATTGTGATAAATCGAAAACTAATATGGCAGCACTTGCATTACGATAATACATGGGAGCGACAGCTTTGAAACGTTCCTGTCCAGCAGTATCCCAAATCTGAAAGGGATAGAAAATTAGATAATATTTTATATTAAAAAAGAATAGAGGGTACTTACTTGTAATTTGACTTTGGCCTCCTCCAGTATAACATTACAGGTGAAAAACGATGCTGCACTGGCATGCTGTATATCTTTGTGTAGGGTATTTTTAATATATTTTGTGACCAGACATGATTTGCCAACACCTGAAAGGAAAAAGGGGTAGTATTAAGAAATGGTTTAGATAATAAATACCACATAGGGTCAATCGGCAAATTTAATGCCTTTTTCTATCGTATTTTATAATGAGAAGTTATGGTGGATTTGGAATATAAAAGAAAGGGCCTTTTATAGATTTTTTAAAGGGGAAAACCTTAATAAGTTTAATCATATTGTAAATTGAATATATCGATTTGTATATTGGTAGAAATGTTTGATCATTCATTACAAAGTATGAGACTTTCATCTCCCAAAATCGCAATTACTATATGATCAGGAAAATAATCAGAAAAGATGCTGCAAATTCATGATTTTATAAACAATCATCATTTTTTTTAAATCTCCCATCTACCTTTACGTGAATAATCATCTAAACGTTATCTGTATGCCATAGATGAGGTGGTAATGATATTGTTTACTTTTCTTTTTTATTAAACAATTCAAAAACAAACAACTGACTGGCTGACGAACGCCAGCGGTAGACATGGTTTGATTACTGATTAAGAAAATTACGTAAATGGTCATATAAAAAAAATATAGGAAGTAAGATGTTCACAACCTATCAACAAGACAAAATACGAGTTATGTTTGTGTGTGTGGTAGGTTAGGTTTGGCGCATATTTTAAAAATAAATGGGACATGGGCCAAAAAATATTTTTAAACCAGTAAGGAAAGTAGTAAAGTCGGACTGGGTCGACTATATGATACCCTTCACCACCTTGGGTATATTATAGATATGTATCCATACATTTGCATGTCACTGTTCCCTCGAAGGAACATGCTCATGTCTTTCTGCAACCTATGATAAATATAATTTCATTCTGGCAGATTTAGAGTCGTCTGCGTACCATGGAAAACGATTTATAGCAAAATTGATACACACTATTCGGTACGCCCCACTGTTAAAAATTTAATTTTAATCAGGCACCCGTTCGAAATGCATATGTCTGCATCTGCAACAATTTCAACAAAACGAATTAACGTCATTCAAGTCTCAATTCGGACGAAAATATATTAGAAGCTATATCTAAAACTGAACCGATTTTCCCGAAACTTACCACTCATCATTCTAGACTCAATTCATTACACTATGCCAAATTTCGTGCAAATCGAAGGATATATAGGGACTTTGGTGCACCATTTACATAAAATCTGACAAAAATATATATGGGAGCTATATAGAAATCTAAACCGATTTTCCCGAAACTTACCACTCAACATTTCAGACTCAATTCAGTACGCTATGCCAAATTGCGTGCAAATCGACAGATATATTGGCACTTTTGTGCACTATTTACCTTAAATCGGACGAAAATATATATGGTAGCTATATCTAAATCTGAACCGATTTTCACGAAACTTAATACACATCATTATATACTTAATTCAGTACGATATGCCAAGTTTCGTACAAATCGAAGAATATATAGGGACTTTGCTGTACCATTTCGTAAAATCGGACGAAAATATACATGAGAGCTATATCTAAAAATGAACCGATCTTCACCAAATGTAACACACATCGTTCTACACTTAATTCAGTACGCTATGCCAAATTTCGTGCAAATCGACAGATATATTGGGACTTTGGTGCACCATTTACCTTAAATCGGACGAAAATATATACGGGAGCTATATCAAAATCTGAACCGATTTTCACGAGAATTCCCACTCATCAATTCAGACTCAATTCGAATCAATTTCGTGTAAATCGAAGGATATATAGGGACTTTGGGGCACAATTTACCTAAAATCGGACGAAAATATATATGGGAGCTATATCTAAATCTGAACCCATATTCACAAAATTTAACACACATCGTTATAGACTTAATTCAGTACGCCATGCCAAATTCCGTGCAATTCGAAGGATATATAGGGACTTTGGTGCACTATTTACCTAAAATCTGACTAAAATATATATGGGAGCTATATCTAAATTTTAACCGATTTTCACGGAACTTAAGACACATCATTCTGGACCTACTTCCGTACCATATACCAAAATTCGTGCAAAGATATAGGGACTTTGGTGCCCCATCGGACGAATATAGGAGCTATATCTAAATCTGAGTCGATTTTCACGAAACTTAACACTCATCACTATAGACTTAATTTAGTGCGCTACGCCAAATTTCGTGTAAATCGAAGGATATATAGGGGCTGTGGTGGACCATTTACCTTAAATCGGACGAAAATATATATGGGAGCTATATCTAAATCTGAATCGATTTTCAATAGGGTTTGTCCTTGGGCCAAATAAATGAGCTGTGCCAAATGTCATTCAATTCGGATTATAAATGCGACCTGTACGTTGTTTACAATTTAACACCAACGACTCAGAAAGTGATTCTATGCATATTCTCAAAAGTATCTATGGGTCTATCTCGTTTCCCTTTGCCTGCCAGAAACATATGCACAAAGACATAATACCCTGTACCACAGTGTAGTGAAGGGTATAAAAACCCACGCTTTCAGCTGGACCTAAAACAAATATTAAAAAAAAACATACCTACAGCTGCAACTTAAAAAAATATTATTGGCGGTAAAACATGTTGTAAATAGCCCATAGTGAAGTTGGACATCAAATGGTCATTTCTTTACTTCTATTGTTATTGATATTTACTATATGTTCTTATGCCGTTCAGTCGTACATTTTCTTTATATGTTGGTGTATTAAACTGGATTATCCAAAAATAAGCACTGGAGGCATTCACATGTTATGTGACCTTGGAAAATCCAAATCATGACATTGGAATGCAAATACCAAACACTTATCGCCAAAAAGCAACGCTAATAAATATATGTAATTCATTACATGTATGCAGCGGAATGTGTCTAGAAAAAACTAGAAGTTTTCCCCCTCTCTAAAGGCAACACACCAAAAGTGAATGAAGAAGAGGTTTTCTTCAAGGTCGTTATTTTATGCCTACGACCGAGCGAACGTTTGCAAAATATTTGTTCGACCTTATCGATTTTCTGTTGGTTCTTTTTTCGAAAACAAAATCACGGACCAATGGCAACAACAACACCAACAAATACAAAAAAAATCAAAAGCAACGGACAAGTTCAACCACTTGCAATGCCCCATATAATTATTTAATAATAAAAATGAAAGCATTTTATATTGCATTAAGTGAATAAATTGGTTGGCTGTCTGTCGGGATGAATGAAAGAAGAAAAGAATGCATCATTAAAATTAATCAAAGCATTAAGAAAAACGTGTTATCTCGTAATTTTATTATTACCTCTGGATCCCAAAATCACAACTTTGCCTTCAATGCCTCGCATGCTGATATTTACAGAATGATGGTGGCGGTAGTGATGCAGCTGCTTTTTTCAGACAACGTAAGCAAGGTAACTGCAACTGGCGAATTAGCAGCTACTCACTCTAGAGAGACAAGGTGGTTTTGTTTTTATTTTTGTTGTTTCGTGTTTATCAATGGATTCCCCCAAAAATATTTGCTGCGGAGTTCCTTGAACTATTTATCGCAGTGTCTTAGTTTTTGTTGTTTTGATTTGCTTTGCTTTGTCTACTAATTCAATGACAGCCACTAGATGATTAGTATTCTTATCTATTTTTTTTTTTCTTTCGAAAAATTATTGTTTACAATTTTGGATGAATCGACACACCACTTCTTTGTTTTTGTTTCTTTTCATTTCTTTCAAAATACCAATATTATGATGACATAAATATTTGCAATGTTCTCCTTCTCTACACAGTTAGTTGATTGTTTTTCTTTCGTCTTCGCAACATTGTATTTCTTTATATTTATTATTTTAACCGAATGACTGACTGACCAACTGATTAATTCCAAAGTCTTTGATTTTCTTTTTGCGTTTTTTGTTGGTTTTTTTAGTTTATATTTCAAACGAGTCAAGCTGAATTAAAAACGTTCCAATGAGAAGTGAACGATAAAGAGGAATGTAAAGCAAAGTTGTTATTTCAATTTATTGTTGTTTACGAATGAGGTATGAAGCTATCAGCTGTTGGTTGGGCAAGATTAACCTTTGATTGGGAACTGAAAGGAGCTAGTTCACACTAGATCGTTCGTTTAGTGAATAAAATAGTTCAAATCAATAGTCTTTTGTTTCTATTTATGAAAACGACCTCATTATTATATTTTACAATTAATATCATTATTTGTATATTATATATAAATAATATATAAATTAATGTAGTAGTAGTGAAAAAAATCGCTGAAACAGACGTTCTTTAAATTTAATCAATTTGAAAACAGGGTGATTCACTATTTCTATGCCAGCAATTGCTTTTTAACAGGGTAAGGCAAGATGTATTTAACATATTTTGTGCTACACAATAACAGGAAAAACTTTTTAAATTTATAAAATCAAATTCGAAAAACATTTGAACAGATTTTTCTAAAAAAGTAAATGAGAAAAATTGTGAGATAAAACTACGTTTAGATTTTTGAAATACACTGGATCTCAAATGTCAATTCCATAGCGTATACGTCAAATATAAATATATATATTTTATTTTTCATATTGCCCAGTCTTTTGAATAATTGAATAATTTCTATAAAGAAGGTTTTTATTTACCAGGAATCCAATACGTCAGCAATCCTGGTGAAGAAATTCAGTTAAAAACTTCCTTATTACGGAGGCTATATTAAAACTTGGACCTATATAAAAAAAATACATTAGATTTACATTAAATTTTTACCGTAAATGTACATTGCACTGGATTTCGTAAACATAGATTCAGATTTAAGTTTCCAATTCCATCACATATATGTCAAATAAATCCTCACATAGTAAGTAAACCCGGCAATAAGTTTCAATGTACAAGCAGTTTTATGCAAAAATGTATTTTACCCTACCATATCCCGACATAACGTATTACAGCCATTACAATGGCTGTAATGTGGAATATCGGTAAACAAATAGCTTTTCATTGCAACTTCGATTCGAAATAAATAAAAAATCTAGTTAATTGCATTTGAATCCTTTATAAAAATTTAATTGAACAAAAATATATTATTCAACAATTATAAAATAATTATGTCTATTGACATTTTTTCTATCTGACATATGTACAAAGAAAATGCCAACTTAACAGCCTGTTTTTGTAAAATTCAAAACGAAACAATTCGAACGAATTACTACCAAACCTTTATTTATGTAAAAAAATGTTTCTTGATTCAAAACAAAAATAAATGACATATTTTTCAAAACCAAGGAGTTTGGTTGTAAGTCACTCGAATTCGTTCGTTTAGAATTTTACAAAAACAGGCTGTAAGTGATGATTTATTTTAAAACACGTTCGTTTAAGTGTTCTTATTACGTTACATTGAACAAAACTGGGTAAATCAAAGATTATTAAATGAATCATAATGTCTAGTTTGTATAACAGGGCGACCCCGACAAATTACAATTTCTGCCCAAGAGAAATAGAAAGAATCAAACAATATTCCATAAAATAAAGGCAAAATAATTAATCTATTTGATATATTTATAAAGAAAATAACTTAAATGACGATTATATGATTATTTAATATAAAATACAGGCAGTGTAGAAGTTTCCTTACGTTATATTGACAAAAACAGGGTAAATCAAAAATTATTAAATGAGTCGTACTGTTCAGTTTGGGCGACACCGAAATTCAGAAATTACAAGTGTTGTCAGAGAGAAAAGGAAAGAGAGAGAACAATGTAGAAAGGAAGTTAAAACACATTTTTAATTTCTGGATTTAAACACATTTTTAATTTCTACAAAAACTTTTAAAAATATAGAGATTTTTATTAATTTATAATATTTCATATAGAAAATATGTGGTGTTTTTGCTGCTGCCAAAAATTACATAAATGATAGATTGAATAAAACTATTTTTATTGTTTGATGAGGAGACTTTATGAGTATATGAAGTATTGCTATCAATTCAATAAAGTTACCCATAACTTGTAATCTCCATTAAGGTGTGCCCTAAATTAGTGGAATTCTTTTAATTGTGCCTGTATATAAACGCCTATTAAATAAATGATTCCATGAAATTTTACACACACACAATTGAACTACTTTTGATCTTAAGAAACTACCGATTTTTTCCTCTTGTTTGTTTTATAAAGGAAAAACAAGATACGACAAGTTTATTTAACTTTTAGTTTCATAAAAAAAATTCTTAAGTAATCGTTTATCAATGTGATCGACGACAAGATTAAAAGGGACTTTTTTAATAAGAATCTATTTTGAAATATTATTCATAACAAGTATAAATGATTAATGTCAACATTAAATAGTATTAGAATATATAACAGCAGCCATAATTTTTTGTAATCTAAAATTCTTTTTTTGTGAAAAGATAAGATTATGTCAATTCTTTTGAACAATTTCACAAAAATTTATGATTATTCTCAGTAGAAACAAAAACACAGAGAAAACACCGGCAGGGAGAGAGTCCCCCACACAGAGAGAAAGGTGAGCATGGGACAAACAACATTGCTCCTACAAATAAAGAGATAGAGGGAGAGCGTTCCCAAATATTGATGAGCAAGCAAAACATTTCATGAGAATTCGTAAATACCAGCCATTTGTTGTTGGATTTGAACAGCAAACCACATCAAGATAAACAAAACATTATAATGACTCATGCCGCGCGCCAGCACCATATTAAAACACATTTTGGTTATCATGTTTGGAATTCACACCACGAAGAACAACAACAACAAATCTCACAAAGAGGCGTTAAATCGAGTAAAGAGTAACTTTTGCTAGAAGGTAAATTATATATTTGGCCATTCCATAACTGACTCTGGTCAAGGAAAGTTGTATTCAAGTCTAAGTGAAGTGAAAAAAAATAATTTTGTGTGTCAAAATGTTCGATTTCAATCTGCAATTTGCTCGTGGTGGTGCCCAATTCACCGTTGAACTTTTTGAAAAACTCAAGGCAGCCACTACCAAGGAAAACATTATCGTATCCCCCTTCTCGGTGCAAACCTGTTTGGCTTTGGCCTTTGCCGGTGCCAAGGATGAGACAGCTGAAGAAATCGCCACCGCTTTGAAATATGTGTCCAATTTCCCACCTGAAGTTGCTGAAACATTCCAATTTGTTTTGGAAAAATACAAGGATAGTGAACTGCTGAAAATCGCCAACAAAATCTATGTCCAGGAGGGACAAGAAATCAAAGAAGATTATGCCGCGGCTACCAAAGAACATTATCATGCCGAAGCTGATACAGTAAACTTTGTGGAAAATGAAGCTGCCGTTGAGAAAATTAACAATTGGGTTGAGGAAAAAACCGCTGGAAAAATTACCAAATTAATTACACCCGATTGTTTTGATGAGAGCACACGTTTGGTACTCCTTAATGCTATGCACTTCAAGGGTGAATGGGAAAAGAAATTCGATGAAAGTGCCACGGAAGAAGATGACTTCTGGATCGGCGAAGAAGAATCGGTTAAAGTGAAATATATGAATCAAAAGGAAAAATTCGGTTATGGTTATTTCGAAGAATATAATTGTACCGCATTGGAAATGCCCTACAAGGATTCAGATTTGAGTATGTTTGTAATGCTGCCCCAAGAACGTGAAGGTCTCAAGGATTTGGCTGAGAAATTGAAAGATGTCAATTTGGTTGACTTGGCCGATCAAATGAATACCGAGGAGGTTGTAGTGAAATTCCCTAAATTCAAAGTGGATTATTCCGTTGAATTGTCGGAGGCATTGAAGGAGGTAAGTTTTGTTTTCAACATAAAAATAATTATAAAATGTATTCAAATTTTGATTTTTTTGTAGAAAATACTTTCAAAACATTTATATAAGCAAGAAATCCAAATTAGTCAAATACTAGTCTTCTTATTTTAACCACGCAAATGTAGCAAGGTTCCTACATGAGGTCATTAGCAAGGAATCTAAATTAGTTCTTAGTAACTTCTTGTATGTCACACTAAAATGTGGAAAGGGTCAAGGAACCTAATTAAGGTCACAAGGTGTAGCTATGGTCCGAGAAGGTCGTTGCTAGGGAGAGCAAATTCAAACTTCCGTTTTATACACACCTCCCACAATGCTATTAATATCCATCAAGGAATTATGTCAGATAACCGAAAGAAACGCTTTTGTTCGGACAAAAATGTCTATAAAAATTCTTTGGTATCTAAAGACTATATTTTCTAGGAAGGAATTTTCATGAAGCTGTGGACATTTTCTAAAGAAAATAATTATTCAGGACAATAGAAAATAATAACTCAGGAAGCTTAGGATATTTTATGTAAAAAAAAAATTCTTAAGGAAGCTGAGAACAATATTTTCTATAAAATAGATGTACAAAATAATTTTTAATACTAGAAGGGGCCTACTGTCCTTCTGTCCTATTTGTCTTCTAGAAAGACCAACAAATGTCGAATTGCAAGTAGTCCTAAAATTCAATTCAAAATCAATGGAAATTTTATTAAAAAAATGCAAGAAATGATGTCAGTAGCACAAGTTCTATTAATAATTTCAATATCTTATCAAAACGTCTGAACTAAATAAAATATTAACCAACAATTGGTAGTAGTGTCCAACAACACACACACAATAGTAAAAAAATTTTTAACAAACCATTTCGATTAAACATTATCTTGTTTACGGACCACTTCATATATTGGGAGCGTGTGTCAGAGACTATTTTATTTGTTTAAACTAAAATTTTAAATATTCATTAATTTTTGTTTGTTTTTATTTTGATAAACAAAATTAACCCCTTTTTAAATTTTTTTCTTTTCAGATGGGTATTCAGAAAGCCTTTAGCGATGATGCTGATTTCAGTAATATTTTGGAAAATCCTGAAAATCTCTCCATATCGAAAGTTTTCCACAAGGCCTCAATTGAAGTAAATGAAGAAGGTTCCGAGGCGGCCGCTGCCACCGGTATGATTATGATGACACGCATGATGATGCTGCCATTGCAATTTGTTGCTGATCGTCCATTCTTCTATTGGATTTGGAATAAGAAGAATATTTTGTTTGCTGGTGCTTTTGTTAACGCTCCCGCAGAAGAATAAAAGGGAGTGAGAAGAAAAGTTTTGATGATGAAGGGAGATGTTCCATGACATAGTATTTTCACATAATAGCAAACTATATTCATTGTAATTTTGTGCAATTTAAATCGTTGTAAATATTTATATTTAGTTTATTGTTAGTTGTTAATAACATTCTTTTTGTATATTGTATTGTGTAGTGATCTATTAATATTTGATAAAAAATAAATAATGATTTATATCATTGAAAACAAAAAATTAAATCTATAGCTTTCAATAAAAGTTTGAGGTATTAAATTAGAAATACATAAAATAGGATAGATACATTGTCCTTATAGAAGAACCTTAAAAATATTAGTTTGACTAAACCTTGCTTATGTATGCATTTTTTTTTTTAAATTCACCTTGGAAAACCATAACAAATTTTATTAAGAATTATCGCATATGGCTGAACGTATAAAAATTATTTTTCTTTAATTCCTCCAAGTAACATTAATGATTTTGTCATTATTTCATTATGTTAAGAAAATAAATGACCTTGATCCATGAGAGAATTGTCGATTGGATCTAATTACAAAACCTTAAAATTGATTTATTTAAACGATTTTTAATTTTCGAACAAAAATTAAAAAAAAAAAACAAATTAATTACATTGTTTACTGGAAATGTTGTATTCAAGTACTAATTGCCACAATTTTCTATTTCGATGTACAAATGTATTCTACGAAGTGTGAAATGATTTTACAAATGTGTTATGGTGCGAATACTAGAGCTGTCAATTATTAATAATAACAATTTCTTAATTGCCATTGTTAATCCCATACAAGTGTGAAGTGGCGGAAACAGAAATTATTTTTTTTAGACTTAGTCCGTCGTTGCAATACCTCGAAATATTCGCCAGAGACCCCTTAAAGTATATATATTCTGATCAGGATACAATTCTATGTTGATTTTTGCATATGTGCCTGTTGAAATCACGATGGTGCTCGCAATATTTATGGTGGAACTTTAAATTTTTTACAATCATTGTTACTACTCTCAGGATGTTTGGTATTGAAAATGGGATATATCAGTATCCAACGTATTGGTATAGCCCTTATATGAGAGCTATATACTCGAATATTAATATTTTGAAGATGGTTAACAAGATTTTTTTAAGGAATTGACGGAAATTAACAACGTTGAGTTCACATTAGGTAGCAAATCTTCCTACCAAAAATTATCAATATGGGTCCACTTTTGAGGATAGCCCCAATTCTCGGTATTTCAGGAAATTTGGGTACGTTTTTTTTTAAATTTAATTGGCTGTAATTTCGTATATTGAATTTTCATTTAATGGCACATCTAACTACCAAAACTTATAGATATTAGACAAAAATTTACAATAGCGGTACCCCAAATTTTCGGTATTTTGGGGAGTTCCAACCGAATTGTCAGTAATTTTATATTTTGGATAATGATTGAGTTAAAAATCTGTCTTTCAAAAATTTTCAATATTTATTAAAGTTCCCGGTTAGCCAGCATAAAAAAGTACCCCATTTTTCGGTATTTTGGGAGGCTTGGGGAGATTTTTCAACCGAATTGACTCTTTTTTGTTTTTTGTTTAGGTTCTCATGAAGTGTCAAATCTTCCTACAAAAAATTATTAATATTGGTCTACGTTTTGCTATTGCTCCATTTTCCAATCGATGGCGTTATACAGTAACAGAAACCTCCTGACAAAATTTTTTTAATTTTTGGTCCGTATTTTGGCATTACTTTTACTTACGGTACTCACCGATTTTAGGTATTCTGAAGGTCATAATCGTTTCCCAATGGAGTAAATGAATAATGCTTCTCGGAAATAATTCGGAAAAAATTCCGCGCAATTTCTGTTTACAAATGCAATTACCTTATAGGCCTCTATTCAAGTTTAGATCTGACATAGGCTGTAAAAACAATTTTTGTGTTATAAGGATCAGGAAATTCCGCGCAATATCTGTTTACAAATGCAAGTACCTTATAGGCCTCTTGAATTATGTGGTTCAAATGCGGACCAAAAGACTAAGACGTATCAATAAACATTACACCTAAATCTCGTATAGTATTTGATTATTTAAGAATATAGTTTCTAATCTTAAAATATGATTGAATTGGGAAATTTAAATTGATAGAAAAATCTTCTGGCCGAAAAATCAGTAAAATTTTCAGCCTGTTTTTGTAAAATTCCAAACGAACGAATTCGAGTGACTTACGACCAAACTCCTTGGTTTTGAAAAATATGTCATTTATTTTTGTTTTGAATCAGAAAACATTTATAAACATAAATAAAGGTTTGGTCGTAAGTCACTCGAATTCGTTCGTTTGGAATTTTACAAAAACAGGCTGTTTATGTCTTGGGGACTTTAGTATTATTTAATGAAAAAACAAATAAATATTTCTTTTCCACAAAGCATCACACTTGTTGTTTGTTTGTTTTTTTTTTTAATAAATTCATCAAAAGTATACAATTTGTTTACTTATCGGATACATTATGTGTAGGTCTGTTCGAAATAAACAAAAAGTATATAGTTTCTGAGAGAGAGTAACAAGTAGGCTCTCCAACGAATAAATACAATTGTTGCCTCCAAACAAAACAAAAAATACCGGCAACGACAATAACAAAAATTTGGTAAATCCCCAATGTTGATATAAAATATTGAGTAGGGTTGGCGACTGAGACAAAATCATAATAATTACTATGTCCAATCTTAAATGAAACATCAAAAACATTGGTTTTATTGGTGTCTGATTTTTTTTACAGCCAAAAGGAAGCAAAAATGTAGTCCTTAGAACATGGACCAAATGTACTCCTTACAAAATTGTACACAACATGAAGACAAAGACAGTTTCAAATGCAAGATACAATATCCTGAGAATCTTCCTTCGTCATTTTTTATTGCCGACAAAATATTGAACGTCATCTCTATATGACTTGTTAAATTGGGTACTTCGAATACTATGCGTTCATATTTAAAATGTATGATTGTATGTTGATACTTTTTTACTGGGCAGATTGAATCATCATTTCAATAACAAAAAACCTCACCTCCACACTCCCGCCTTCAATTTGTTTACCATCACGATGGCAAGTATTGTCATCATTGAAGCACATACATGCTAGGTATTGTTGTTTGAGCAGAATTTCGGCAATAGCATTGCACAAGAGACCGGGTTAGAAGAAAGTTGTTTGTACCAGTACTAGACAAAAATTGTGAAAACAGTTTATAATTATTTAAAATTTTTGCAATATAACAAAGAAATTAAAATATCTTACCAAAAAATATGGCTGACAATAATACGAAATTTAATCGCGGCGGTGCTGAACTAACCATTGAACTGCTGGATAAACTTCAAGCTGCCACAAACAAGGAAAATGTTTTAATTTCCCCCATGTCCATACAAACATGTATGGCCTTGGCATTTACCGGTGCCAAGGGTGCCACCGCCGACGAAATTGCCAATGTTATGAAATTTCCATCAAACTGTCCCAAAGATGTTGCCAATCGTTTTCATCAGCTTTTATCTAAATATGAAAATAACAAATTAGTAAAAATGGCCAATAAAGTTTATGTTCAAGAGGGACATACCATTAAACCGGAATATGCTGCCATAACTAAGGAGAAATACTATGCCTCTGCTGAGTCCATTAATTTTGCTGAAAATGTTGCGGCCGCAAATAAAATCAACAACTGGGTAGAAGAAAAAACATCGGGTAAAATCACCGATTTAATTCCCTCGGATGCCCTGGATGCCGATACCCGTTTAATTCTACTAAATGCCAAGAGAAATTCGATCCCGAAGATACCAAAGAAGATGATTTCTGGTTAAATGAAAATGAATCAATTCAAGTGGAATTTATGCGTAAGCAAGGTGATTTTCGTTTGGGCTATTTGCCAGACTATGAATGTGAGGCATTAGAAATGCCCTATAAAGATTCCGATTTGAGTATGTTTGTGCTATTGCCCGTGAAACGTGATGGACTCAAAGCCTTGGCGGAGAAATTAAAAGGTGTAAATCTATTGGATTTGGATCAACAGTTGAGCACAGCCAGCAATATGATTGTTAAATTTCCCAAATTTAAAATTGAATATTCGATTGAGCTGTCGAAAGTAATGCAAGAGGTAAGTAGGGGACATTTTTGTCGTACTTTTTTTGACTAACAAAAACACAAATTTCGAAATGTCATGTTTGGCTTGTAATCTTATCGGTGTTGGGTTGTTGTTCTGTGTGGTATTATTTACTCCCACCAATGGCATTGTATTGTGGAATTTTATTTGTCGTATATTTTGAGTGCGGGTATGACCTAAATTTTGGTAATGGTTGTTAATAGTATTTCCTTATAAGTCGTTTTTAACATGGTTATTAAAGGCATACATACACCTGTCACCTTAAGCTTAACTTTGTGTGCTGATTGTGGTTAAACTGTTGGCGTTGGGAAAGGTCATTGCAATGGACAATACATATAACATTAAGTTCGTTCGCATTAGAAAAATGTATAACAAGCGGAAAATTGATGTTGTTTATAAATACATCCGTTTTCTTCACCCATTTTAATGTGCGATGATACAAATGGTCTGTTCCCGTACGTCAAGAATCTACTAGATTTTACTATTTTCTTCGATATCATAAGGGAAAATTTGTTGTCGTAGTAAAAAATAGTAGATTCTTGCAGTACGGGAACAGGCCAAAAGCAATCATGGCATAATTATACAAGGTAGTCTCATGCAGTCATATGTTTTCAATTTGTTCATCAATTTGACAGTATTCAGCTTTCAAAATTAAGTGGCTATACCATGGCACAATGAATAGGTAGTCCATTTAGAGCAGCTGATGTCTTGATTAACTGTCAAAGTGCGTAATTTCTACTTGAATTTGATGTGCAATGCTGCCAACTTTTTTAAATTATTATATGGAAAAATTTGACAGATAATCGAGACTAAAACAAAGGTTTTTTTTGTGATACATCACCTTATTATTGCATCATGAATAGGTAGTCCATTTAGAGCAGCTGATGTCTTGATTAACTGTCAAAGTGGTCAATTTTACTTGAATTCGATGTGCAATGCTGCCAACTTTTTGAAATATTATAAGAAAAAATTTGACAGATAATCGGGACAAAAAAAATGTTTTTGTTTTGATACATCACCTTATTATCATGGGCTATGCCCTACTTTGAATAATTGTACCATGATAGCACTACTAATTCATACCTGTCATTCTACATTACTTTCAGATGGGAATTAAAGCCGCTTTTGCAGAGGCTGATTTAAGTGATTTATTGGTATCAGCCAAGGGGGTTTATGTTTCGGAAATTTATCACAAAACTTTTATTGAAGTCAATGAGGAAGGTTGTGAAGCAGCCTCTGCAACAGGAATGATAGGCCTGGCACGGTGTATGTCACGGCAATTTATAGCCGATTCTCCATTTTTATATTTCATTTGGAATAAAAAGAATATTTTGTTTGCTGGGGCTTTTGTTAAACCACCATCATCAACAACAGCATAGACATATATATTTATGAAATTGTATGACAATATAAATAATCTCAGGCATTACTGTTTTTTTTTTACCAAATTTAAATTGCTGTAAAATTTACTTTGAAATTGAAAATAATAAAAATTCGTTTAAAAAAATATACTTGAATTATGAATAGGATTTATTTGACATATACGCTATGAAATTGACATGTTAAATCGAGCGGATTTGGTAATCTACGTATATGTAAATAAGCTTTAATGATTTATCATAAAACATGTTCGGTGTAAATTCGCCATAAGACCAGCTGTTTCTAACGTCTGCTGTCAAATGTGTGTGAACATTATGAAAATGTAAACAAATAAATTAGGCAATAAAAATCGAATGATAAAAATCCTAGCTATTTAGACTAGTATTAAAATGATATAATTTCATTGAACTGATATACGCTTACGTATGCATGCATTCCTAATTCAGTCATAATTAAAAATTAGCATTACTTCATTTGCGAGAGGAAGGGGATATTGTAAGAATAAATACATAGCAGAATTTGTTTCTCATTTTCATCAAACATTGGTTATTGTTTCATTTCGCTTCATTTATATTCGACGTATATATATTTTACAACTTCAGAAATTATTTTTTTCATTTGCCAACATATCGAAATTTATGCACTTATCTTTTCAGATGGGTGTAAATAAGGCCTTAAGTCAAACAGCTGATTTCAGCAATATATTACAAGCTTCCAATAATCTTAAAATTTCACAAATCTTTCATAAAACATCGATTATTGTAAACGAAGAAGGCACGGAGGCTGCTGCAGCCACGGGCATGAAAGGCGTATTTTATTGCGTGCCACGCCAATTTAATGCTAAGCATCCTTTCTTGTATTTTATTTGGAATAAGAAGAGCATTTTATTTGCGGGATCATTTGTGAAACCTTCAATTGCCGAATAAATGTAAACGATGTGAAAACATTCAAAGAGATTAATTAATAAAATATGTCAATGTTTGATGTGTATATAGTTTTTATGATAATTGCAAATATGACAAATAAACGATTATATAGAAAACACATATAGAAGAACATTAAATGATAAAGTTAATTTACTTTATTACTAAAAAAATTGGTAAATAAAACCATGGTATAATAATAGAAGGTAACAGCAAGTGTTGTTGTACAAAAAACGATACAACAACCACATGGAAATTTGTTGTTGTAAGTTCTACTAGTGTCAACTCATTTGACAGAAAAATGTAAAGAAACAAACAAATTATCATCAAATTATTTTTATTTTGAAAATGAAATATTTTCGAATCCTCAAAATAAAAATTGAAAAACATGAATGAAAATCTTTCAAATTTATATTTCTATCGCGTCCACATCTTTCCTTTAATTGTGCCATTGCCACATATATGAATAACACATATGAAAATGCTGGGAATAGCGAGTTATTCCTTGAAGAAAGATTTGCTTCCTGAAACCTTCCCAGCAGGCAGATTGTGTAAATTGAATACGGGAGCACATTTAATAAAGAACAATTTCAAATTGTATGCGTTCCCAATTTTCCTGTTGGGTGATTTTTAAAAACATAATTTGTCAAATTCATATTGACACTAGTATTACGTTGGAATCAAATCAGCTGGGATTTGCTGTTACCTTTTATAATTGTACCATGTGATAAAACAAATGTTTGCCATCTCATTTGGGTATGTGTCGACGGAATGACAATTATTACTGTAGAAAATATATCAACATTTTATTTTCAAAACCAAAACTAAACATATAATTAAAATGATAAATTCCCTTGCATGTCCATGGCCATAAAACAATAAAAATATAAGAAACCTAATGGAACAAATATTAAAATTACTATCTATAAGACTAAAAATATCATATTTTATTATATTTTTCAGATGGGTATAAAGACCGTTTTTGAAGCAGCCGATTTAAGTAATCTGTTAGAATCTGAAACAAAGGGTGTTTATGTTTCGGAAATTTTCCATAAAACTTCCATTGAAGTTAACGAAGAAGGATGTGAAGCAGCTGCTGCTACAGGATTAGTAGCTACATTCCGTTGCATGCCACGACAATTTATGGCCGATTGTCCATTTTTATATATTATTTGGAATAAGAAGAATATTTTGTTTGCTGGTGCTTTTGTTAAACCGCCACAGATTGCAGCATAAAAATAAGCAATTATGGCATATTTTATAATAAATAATCTCGACTATTTATTACACTATTCTTTTTTCCTTTCAACAATTTGATGTATTTATAAAAATAAATAAAAAAATTTTATATTTTTACAATTAACAATAAACGATTTTTGGCTTTAAAATGATGTAACAGAATAGGAATATTACAACATGCTTAGATTACGATACCATCAGTGGGGTTTAATTTGTCAATTCCATTGCATATACGTAAAATAAGTCCTCATAGAGGATGTTAACCCGGCAAAATATTCTAATGTAGACTTAAATAATTATTATTTGTGAATCCTTATTTTATACATTCTAATTTTTTATTTTTAAGTTTTTAATACAAAAAAATTGTATTTGTTTCTAGATGGGCATTTTACAAATGTTCAATGATACTGCAGATTTGCGTAATATTTTGGAGACCAATCAAAAAAATCGTGTCTCCCAAATTTTTCATAAAACCTGCATTGAAGTGAATGAGGAGGACACTGAAGCAGCGGCCGCCACTGGCATGAAACTTATGCTATGTTGTATGCCGAAAAAATTCTTTGCCAATCGACCCTTCTTTTATTTTATATGGAATAAGGAGAACATTTTATTTGCTGGAAGCTTTGTTAAACCCATTATTTAATTATTTCAAGGTAGGGCATAGCTACCAACTGATTACAATTTTTTCCCAATGTGGCTACGTTTACATTGTACCGGATTTAGTTATCCCAATGGGTTTCAATTGTCAATTCCATTGCCTATTTACCAAATAAATCCTTATAAAGTAAGTAAACCCTACAAAAAGTTCTAATGTAAATGCCGTTTTATTCGATCAAATATTATTTATGTATTGAAAACATTTTCAAATAAACACATCCAATTATTTTTATATTTGACAGGTGAAGTCACAACCTACATAGTTGTTTTTTTTTTAGTTATGTCGCTCCTCTTATTATTATACAATCTAATTAAAAATATTCCTATATGAAATGAAACTGAAATGGAAATAATTACACATATTTTACCTTAGAGTCAAACCCACTGGGTATATCTATTAGCTTGTACAAAATCAACATGTATAAATATATTAAAAATTAATAAAAAATGAGTTTATTTAAATGTTTCTTTATTCTTATTGTACGTAATGTACTGAACAATCTCTATGGGAACTGTACATAAAGAGAATATTAAAAGTAATACGAATCACCCTGTCACAGTTTAAATGCCTTGCACACGAGTCACCCAAATTGTATGATACAATCAAAAAAAGGTAATTTCATCTATAAAAACGGTAATAATTTGTTTTACAACCTTTATTCAATCAATAATTTTTATCATAAATTGTTTTGGAAATGGAAACAAGAGGACAAAATAAAAATAATCTTGTTGATTATAAAGTGATTCACCCTGTGTCAACTCATATGCAATGCCGCCGTTATGTTGATTTTGTAAAGGCTAGGGTTTTGATATTGGTTAAAAACACTTTTTAAGTTTAAAAAATTAAAAAAACATACATTTATATCATATAAAATCTTATTATATTAAACATTTTAAAAAATAGTTAAAAAAACAAAAGAGCTCTGTCATCGGAACAACTCTAGTTTAGTAAAAACGATCAAATTTTTCTGAAATTTTTTCCAGAGGTAGGTATTTTTACCCTAATTATGGGGAAATCTTTTTTTCTTGGGGGACGTACCCGGTTACCCGGTTATTTGACCCGGAAGTTCGGGTACGGGTACCCGGTTATATCCGGTTCTACGGATCCGGTTATTATAATATGGATATCATTTTAAAGGTTATAAAAATACCTTTCCATTGAGTGGTAATATGATGGGGTTATCTCAAACCATTTTGGGGATATAGTCAAAAAACTAGGTTTTGGTCCCCGATTTTTTTGAAAAACTCCCTAAAAGTCGAACTTGGTATTATAGTCCCTCTCCAAATCAGACCCAAATGATAGACCACTATTTGCCCTTTCCAAAATGGTGCGATATGTGGCTGTATCTGTTGTGGATCAAAAGATATGGGCCTTAGAACCCTATAAAAACAAGGAAAATCTTTCTACATGACAGAATCTCCTTTTAAATAACATGGTGTTTTTTGGATGACCGGCCTTCGGCCGTGGATTTAAGACTTTCTCCTATGGACAGATACTAACACCGGGTACGCGACAGAAATTCCTTCTAAATAGAATATTTTCTTGTGTAGCCGGCCTTTGGCCGGGGATTTAAGACTTTCTCCTATGGACAGATGCCAACACCGGCTAACGCGGCAGAAACTCCTTCTAAATAGAATATTTTCTTGTGTAGCCGGCCTTCGGCCGGGGATTTAAGACTTTCTCCTATGGACAGATGCCAACACCGGCTAACGCGGCAGAAACTCCTTCTAAATAGAATATTTTTTGGTGTAGACGGCCTTCGGCCGGGTATTTAAGACTTTCTCCTATGGACAGATACCAACACCGGCTACGCGACAGAATTTTCTTGTTTTTGTAGGGTTCTAAGGCCCATATCTTTTGATCCACAACAGATACAGCCACATATAGCACCATTTTGGAAAGGGCAAATTGTGGTCTATCATTTGATTCTTGGTTAGAGATGTACTATAATGGACCCAAGTTCGACTTTTAGGGAGTTTTTCAAAAAAAATCGGGGTCTAAAACCCAGTTTTTTGACTATATCTCCAAAATGGTTTGAGATAACCCTATCATATTACCACTCAATGGAAAGGTATTTTTATAACCTTTAAAATGATACCCATATTATATTAACCGGATCCGTAGAACCGGATATAACCGGGTATTCGTACCCGAACTTCCGGGTCAAATAACCGGGTAACCGGGTACGTCCCCCAAGAAAAAAAGATATCCCCATAATTAGGGTAAAAATACCTACCTCTGGAAAAAATTTCAGAAAAATCTGATCGTTTTTACTAAACTAGAATTAAGCCCTGTCATCTCTTCCCAAGTGAACTCTTCATAGTCCGTTATCAGCTGTTATTAGTTGCAAATTCGCCTTGCCTGTCACCTGTTATCATCGTCCATTAAATAATTGAAGTTATATTTACAATCTGTTTAATTAAGAAGTATAATTTATAAAAGTTAAAGTAAAAAGTCTTTTATACCTGCTACAACCATGGAGGGTTTATTCAACTTTCTAAGAAGCCGTCCCGTATTCTGGACAAGTGTTGCCGGTACAACAGTGGGAGTTGCATGTTTTGTTAAGTAAGATGTTCTGGAACAAAATAACAGTGTGTTTCTGAATTAAAATGCCAATAATTTCTATTTTAGAGATATGATGCAGGGTGGTAAATTTACCAAACCTACAAGAGCCGATGGAAAAATTGTTATTGTTACGGGGTCCAATACCGGTATTGGTAAGGAGACAGTACGCGAATTGGCCAAAAGAGGGGCCACAGTTTATATGGCCTGTAGGGATATGAAAAAATGTGAAGAGGTGGGTAGCTTTGTTGTTGCAAAACGTTGCTCAGGAAATTAAAAAGGAATTTCTTTTTATTTATAGGCCAGAGAGGAAATTGTTTTGGAAACCAAAAATAAATATGTTTATTGTCGTGAATGTGATTTGGCTTCGCTGGAATCAATTAGGAAATTTACAGAGACGTAAGTTAATTGTTTTTATGTATTTTTTATCAAAATTAAAATTGAGCTGTTTTCAGTTTCAAAGCCGAACAAAAACGTTTAGATATTTTAATTAATAATGCCGGTGTAATGCGCTGCCCTCGCTCTCTAACCAAAGAAGGCTTTGAACTGCAATTGGGTGTCAATCATATGGGCCATTTCCTTTTGACAAATCTGTTACTGGATGAACTTAAGGTGGGTTTGAAGTACAGTTTCTTAATTATGTTTTTGTTTAAAATTGTGTGGGTTTTTAGAAATCTGCTCCTAGCCGTATTGTGGTACTCTCCAGTATGGCCCATACCCGAGGTGAAATCAATGTTGGCGATTTGAATAGTGAAAAATCCTATGATGAGGGCAAGGCTTACAATCAAAGTAAATTGGCAAATATTTTGTTTACTCGGGAATTGGCAAGGAGGCTTGAAGGTAGGGATATTTGAAATTCCAGAAACCACAATATTGATTAAAACTGGATGTAGCTTATTCCTTTTGCACATTATCATACAATTTTCATTTTCTTTCCTCTTTAGGCACTGGTGTCACTGTCAATGCCCTCCATCCCGGCGTTGTCGATACCGAACTCTTCCGTCACATGGGCTTCTTTAATTCATTTTTTGCCAGTTTGATATTTAAGCCATTGTCATGGCCATTCCTTAAATCTCCGAAAAACGGAGCTCAAACCACATTGTTTGCTGCCTTGGATGAAGACTTGGCAACAGTTAGCGGTAAATATTTTAGTGATTGTCAGATAAAGGATGTAGCACCCCAGGCTAAAGATGATGCTTTAGCCAAATGGCTGTGGGCTGTTAGTGAAAAATGGACAAGGCTGACAAAATAAATAAGTGACCTCCGGTTTGGTTTGTTGGAAAAAGTTGTCAAATGTTTTTTAGCATTTAAATTTATATCAAAGTTGATATTTATATTTTATGCCAAATTTCAATAAAGACGTGTTAAGAAAAAAGGAATATTTTTTTCTTTAATAAATGTTTTTAAGGACCAGCATATCTTTCAAAGGATTATTCACTCCGCAATAAGACTTGGATTTTGAAACTATATATTTTTTAAGTCGTGGATTTTTAAAATAGATTTTTTCAAGTACCATTAAGGCCGGAATTATTTAAGTATGTTTTTTCGAGGCTTATCCAAACCGTAGATTTTATAAAGAATCATTTTTTCAAGGTCTATCCAAGGCGTGCAATAAAGAAATCCTGTTCATGGAGTGGATTTAAAAAATTTTGTTTCAAAGGCTTTCTAAGGCGTGGATTTTTTTAAGAACACATCAGGATGGTTTTAATCAGAAAATAAATCATGCTCTCACGCGGAATATATACTTTAAGTATGGAAGGCCACGAATTAGATGGAA